CTGCTGTGACCTCGTACGGTCCTAGCCAGGTTGGATCGAGTTTCGTTCTATGATTATTATCTTTTAATAATATTAAATCATTAACGTGTAGTTCTTGTGGATTTTCATTTTTATCATAACGTTCTTTACTTTTTATTTTATTTTTAATTAAATGATCTCTAGCTATTTATGCGAAATTTGCATATTTTCTTTTAGATCGAATATATAATCATCATAATTGTAACGTGATTCAGGTTTGGCCTTCGAGTTAATCGGTACCTCCAATGTACATCTATGAACTAATGCGTATGGTTGAAAATTAGTAGAAGTATGTACCGTTGAATTATATACAAAGAATGCAAAGGGTAGTAAATGATCCCAATTATTTAAATTCTTATCTACATAATGTCTTAAGTACTCGGCTAAGGTCCTATGAGCGCGTTCTACGGGGTTACCCTGCGGTCTGAATGGACTTGTGTTAACCTTTCTATTTTTAATATTTTACAAGCATTTGCAAACGTTTTCAAGAGGAAATTAGTTCCTTGATCCGTGAGTATTGTTTCTGGTATGCCGTGTACACAACGAAGTGTGTAACAAAGGCTTCCGCAACAGTATTTGCCTTCTGGTCAGGAAGTGGAATTCCTAAGTGTAACGTGTCAAATCGTCCTCCATCGTTAAAATGTATACATTATTGGACAGTGTAATCGGCAAGGGCCCTACTATATCCATAAATATTTTTTCGAATGGTTTAGACGAGGTAGATGTAATAGCCACTGGTTGTTTTATGTGCCGATTTGATACCTTATTAACCTGACATAACGTACGATTCCTTATATATTATTTAACATCTTTTTTTTTTATACCCTTCCATAAGAATTGTTTTTTAATGCGCTTAATGGTTTTATTCACACTTAAATGTTCGCCTAGTTTTGAGTCGTGAAATTGTGATAAAATGATTGCCTTTTCTTCTTCACTATATTCTACATTCGCACATGTAATTATTGCATTTTTTTTTTTTTTTTTTTTTTCGAGAAATTTTTTATATGATTCCGAGATATTCAACATGCTAACTATTGCCCTACTATTATTAACGATTGATACTGTACTACTGAAATATACGTTTTTTACTAGTTCTTGCTTATGTATAATTATTTCTTTGCTTTCTATGAGTGGGTCAGCTATCTGTATTCCTACAATAGTTTCAGTCCGCGGATTTGATTTAATAAAACTGGTTTTGTCGGTCTCCTTGAAATTTGTTAGCGCATGCGAGGTCGTTTGAATAATTAATTTGTTGTTTGCTACATCGATTATTGCGTTATTTTTCGACAAGAACTCGTTTCCTAATATTCCGTCCTTGGGTATTGGAAATCGTGCACTTACGATATGAAATTCTGTTTTAATGTTTTCGCTATTTAATTTAATTAATATTGATATTTTCCCTATGGTTTTTGTAAGACATTCATTTATACCGCGTAGATTTATTTTTTGCGTTTCGTCTACTTCTAGTTCTTCGCGTAAGCAATTTATTTTGAGAATATTTACCTGACTACCTGTATCTATCATTAAATGTAATTGATTTGTTTTTGCGGCATTAGAATCGAATGTTATATGATTATTTTCTAGTTTTGCGAATATGTGAAATATTCGTTCGTCGGTTGTTCCACGATAATCTGGTTTATCGTACGAGTACCGCGCCTCTCGTTCGACACGTTTTCGTTTTCCGAATTATTAACGTTCCTACTCTCATCGCTTCTCTTTTTATAACACGAGTCGATATTATGACCAGTTTGATTACAGTATGAACACGTAACTACCTGTATATTATAATTCGTAAGTGGTTGCGTAAAATTATCCCTATCAGGTGGACGGTTGTTATTGCCATTGCTCGCATAACTAGGTCTCGTATTATTCCTACATTGAGATGCAAAATGATTACCATTACAATTGTAGCATTTTATTGCTGGCCCATTGATTGGTTGAGAAAAATTGTTTGCTCGCGGATGATTATTTGTCCTTACAGGGTTATTTGGTCTAATGTTTTCGTTGTTCCTATTTTCGTAATTCGATCTGCGCTGGTTATAATTTTGTGAATGAATATTCGAAAAATGGTTTCTATTTTCCTGTTCTAATCTTAGTTCTACTTGTTCTGACATGGCGATTTGTTTCGCGATTTCCAGAGTTTTAGCATTGTGAGATTTTACTATTGTTCTAATCGGTTCTACTAATCCTTTAATAAATATCGCTAGAGTTTGTTCCCTTAATATATCATATATAATTTTTGCTTCTGCAGGTTCTTTGCCTAATGTACTTATGGTACATAACTGATAATATAGTTTCTCTACTCTATGGCAATAATCGTTTACATCCTCATCGTGATTCATTCTAATCGAATTTAATTGAAGTTGTAACGGTGATGCCGTAGTTGTTACCTCAAATGCATCTGTTAAATAATTTTTTATAAACTGCCATTTCGATACATTTTTGTATTTAATCATTTCTAATGCTCTACCCGTTAAACGTGTGGTAATATATTTTACTAGCGTTGGTGCACTGTTTGTGTCGACTAAACTTACTGCCATATCGCATGCATTTATGAATGGATAGATATCGTCTATTCCTGTGCATAGTGGAATTAATTTAAAAGCGTTTTCTAATTTTATGGTTACTGTCATTTTTTTTTTTTTTTTTTAGTGCGTGTTATAGGTAAAAATACTAATGACTGGTGTTCAAAACTATCTGTAACTTGGCTACGTGTGATTACTCCTGGACTTGGGTTTCTACTTGCGCTATCTCCTAACTGGGTATCTACTATAATATTCAACTGGGCTTTAAACTGGGCTTGGGCTTCTCTGGGCTAATAACTGGGCTTCTAACTGGGCTTCTTCTAATACACTAGTGTCATACAATGAATTAATTACTTTCAAGGGAGATGTATCTTTTTTGTCCATAAATTAACTTAACCACCTATTTAATACGTTAATAATCATAATTATACTCAATAAAATTCAATAATGCCCTGTAAATACAATAATAACTTCAATAATATGCCCTCTAATAAATTCAATAAACTTCAATAATACTTCAATAATAAAATGCCCTCAATAATCAATAAACTTCAATAATAATCAATAATAACTTCAATAAAAATATGCCCTCAATAAACTTCAATAATAATCAATATGCCCTCAATAATTCAATAAACTTCAATAATAATCAATAAAATATGCCCTCAATAAAATTTAAAACGGTTTACACCATTACACTTATAATCAACTACCTAGATTTATCTTAATATGTCTTAATTATGTTGCATACGTCTATGTAACAAATTTAAATAACTATTCACTCACAATAATGCTGTGTTCATGGCTGATGATGACATGTTGCCGTTGATGATGCTGCTAATGGATTTGTTGGTACTGCAATGTGACTTATTTGTTTTTTGTTGGTTCCTCCTGGAGTTGTCTTCGCTGAAGAGTGATCAATTCCTCGTTGTTGACAGTAGCCTTTGATGGTTGCCTCCCTTTGGAATCCTACCTTCGACTGCGCCAGTGTTACATGCGGCCCTTCAGGGATCCAAAAGCTGGTGTACTTGATAAATAATAATAGTCAAATTAGTATGATAATCAAATGTAATATATTAAACCAGGCAAAACAAGCAGAATAATAGTGTTGATTGTAGTGAATTTGTAGCTCGTTCCGAAGTTGATAATCTCCGTGTAAGTCGTGTGTGATGGCTGGGCGGCTAAGCGAGACGTGTGGTGTTCTCGTCTCTGGATACATCTAACTCAGGCTGTCTCGCTGTCCCCTATATATATGGTGGCGGCGTCCTTTGAAAGTGAGCGGCGCGTGTACAGTCGCCCTTGATATGGACCTCACGATTATGAAAGTGGTATTCGTAGTCGAAAACACTTTTGGGTGTGGTCGCATTCCTGGTTGTTATTATGAGCAAAATATATGGTATTGCGTAATCCCATTACAATACTCTGTTTCATCTATGAGTAAACCGCTTTCTCTCACGCAGACTGAGTGCAGTCGAACAGTTCTTACCCCCCATGCGCTGGCTATGCGTTCTGTGATTGGCGGATAGTCATCGCCAGCCGTCGTCGGTCGTCGGGCGCCCGTGTTTAACGCTCTCACCGATGTCCGGATTGTGGTGGGGATGTGCGGAAAACCCATGTTTTGGTCAGTCAAGTGGTTCACTCTTAGATGGAACAGAGTATAATACTGGAAAGTATTTTAATCAATGGTACTACGTATACAATATGCGAATCACTTGATAGTGTTATAGAGGGCAGCCATGGTTGAAATATACGAGGTTATTGCATTTATACCCCATACCAATCAAATATTCTATGATAAAAACAAAAATGGCAGCGTTAAGGCAACCAACCTAAATCAAGCATTTTGAAGCGATTTTGAACTTATTAGCCTCTGCACGATCTAATGGGCATTTTGATGTTTATTTACCATATGAAGATGAATTGACTAACTCTGTATCTGATGAGTTTGATAACATACCCAGCTCTCAGAAGCATACTAAAAAACGACGGAAGAGATTTACAAATAATATCAGAAAAAAACAGCTTATACAATCTGCTACTAAATATCAGCTCAAAAATAAAGAAGTTCATAAAGTAGCAGCAGCCAAGTATAAAAAAAAAAATCCAGAAGTAAATAGAGTGCAAGTTCATAGATATGAACAAAATAATCCAGGAGGACGATCAGAGAGGCGAATCCTTCCATGGAAAATAAAAGCTTTTTCCGGCATGAAATATGAATCGGAAATAGCTTATGAGACGGATGAAACTGTATCTTTGGGTACTATGAGTCATAAATGCGTATACTGCGATGCTCTTAAATTCAAAGAAGAGGCGCCTGGAATGTGTTGTAGTGCCGGTAAAGTACAACTTCCGTCTTTTTTACCTCTTCCTGAACCTCTTTACAGTTTGATTATGGGGTTCCATCCTGATCACAAAAATTTCATGGACCGTATTAGAAAATACAATAACTGCTTCCAAATGGCATCTTTTGGAGCGAAACAAATTATCGAAGATGGATTTATGCCCACATTCAAAGTGAAAGGTCAGGTGTATCATTTAATTGGTAGTTTGCAAGCTTTACCTCAACAAAACCCTCAATTTCTACAGATTTATTTCGTTGGAGATGATGAGAGAGAAACACGCTTAAGATGTAGCCACTTCGCTGATGTAAAGCAAAGCCTGGTAAAACAATTACAAGCGATGTTGCACCATAATAACCCATACATAAAGAACTTGAAAACCACACTCGAAAGAGTACCTCAAAATAGTAAAAACTTTGAAATTATAATACACGCTGATAGAAAACCTGATAATGCTCACAGAGGACGTTATAATGCACCAACAACAAGTGAAGTATCATTGGTCATAGTTGGACAACAGTTTGAAAAACGAGATATTGTGTTACAAAGTCATGATAACAAATTGCAACGGATTAGTGAATTGCACCGTTCATACGATACACTTCAGTACCCGTTACTTTTCTGTCATGGGGAGGATGGTTATTCCATTAATATCTCTCAGATTGATCCAAAAACTAAATTACCACTTCAGAAAACAGTTTCTGCATCGCAATTTTATTCTTACCACATCATGATTAGACAAACGGAAATCAACCATTTACTGTAATTTAGATCACTTTTTAATCAATATTTAGTTGATATGTACGCTAAAATAGAAACAGAGCGCTTAAATTTTATTAAAAACAATCAAATGCAACTCAGAGCTGATAATTACATACATCTCAGAGATGCTATTGGGAGACAAGATACCGATCTTACCCATCTTGGTCAGATGGTAGTTCTTCCGTCGTCTTTTACTGGCTCACCACGGTATATGCATGAAAAAACTCAGGACGCCATGACATACGTTCGTCATTACGGTCGTCCTGATTTATTCATAACTTTTACATGTAATCCTCGATGGAGAGAAGTTTCAAATGCATTACTTTCTGAACAAAAGTCCTACGATCGTCATGATATTATAGCTAGGATATTTCATTTAAAAGTTAAGACGTTAATGAAATTGTTAACAAAAGGGAATTTGTTTGGGGAAGTGCAATGTTTTATGTATTCGGTCGAATGGCAAAAACGTGGTTTACCACACATACATATTTTGTTATAGCTAAAACAGCGCATTTCTCCAGATAAATTAGATTGTATCATTAGTGCGGAAATACCTGATCCTGAAAAAGATTCTCTCCTTTACGATATTATCAAAGCCAATATGATCCATGGGCCTTGCGGTAATTCAAACAATAGATCACCCTGTATGGAGTCAGGTAGCTGTAGCAAGAAGTATCCTAGAACTTTCATTCAAGAAACACAGACAGGAGACGACGGGTATCCAAAGTATAGGCGAAGAGCTCCAGAAAATGGTGGTTTTACTGTTGAAATAAATGGTAATACACTTGATAATCGTTGGGTAGTACCGTATAACCCAGTGCTTTCACGCACATTTGGTGCTCATATTAATGTAGAGTACTGTAACTCTGTAAAATCTATAAAATACATTTGTAAATATATTACAAAAGGAAGTGATCAAGCAGCATTTGGTTTTGAAAATGATAATGATGAAGTCAAGCTTTATGAAAGTGGTCGATATATCAGCAGCTCTGAGGCTGTATGGAGTATTCTGGCTTTTCCTATCCACGAGAGATTTCCAACAGTCTTCCATCTTTCCGTGCATTTAGAAAATGGCCAGCGTGTTTATTTCAACCCTAATGACTCCAGTCGTTTAACAGACATGATTAACAATCCACCAAAAACTACTCTTTTAGCATTTTTCGACTTATGTAAAACAGATGATTTTGCAAAAACACTTCTTTATGTTGATGTTCCCTCTTACTATGTATGGAAAAATAATAGATTTGAGAGAAGAAAACGTGGAATTAACGTAAATGGTTGGCCGGGAATAAAACGAGATCAAGCTCTGGGTAGAGTATATACCATTCACCCTAATAATACCGAGTGTTACTATCTTCGCCTTTTACTTCATGAAGTCCGAGGTCCTACATCTTTTTTGAAATTGAAAACTGTTAACGGCACAATTCAACCTACTTATCAGACAGCGTGTAAGGCTCTAGGCTTACTGGAAGACGAAAGGCACTGGGATACAACTATGGAAGAAGCTGTGCTTTGTGGTTCTCCATTTAAATTACGGGAACCTTTTGCAATTATGTTGATATTTTGTCAATTGTCAGATGCTTTAAGTCTTTGGGAAAAATACAAGGACAGTCTTTCAGAAGATATACGACATCGAGTGGAGTTGGATATACAACCCGAGAATGTGAATTCAATTATTAATGAAGTATACAATAAATGCTTAGTTACTCTTGAAGATACTGTTCTATCTCTGGGAGGTACATCTTTGCAACATTATGGTTTACCTCAGCCATCAAGATGTGAAGCAGTCTTACAAAATAAAGATTACCTTCGAGAAATCAATTATGATTCAAATATTTTGGCACAGTATATAAATTTTAATGAACATTTACTAAATAATGATCAGTCCTATGTATATAACAAAATATTAGAGGGCATTGAAAAGAACACTGGCCAAACATTTTTCTTAGACGCACCTGGAGGCACTGGTAAAACATTTGTCATAAATATTTTATTGGCCAGAGTACGAAAAGATCATGGAATAGCTTTGGCTGTAGCTTCTTCAGGCATCGCTGCTACATTGCTAGAAGGAGGTAAAACAGCTCATTCTGTATTTAAATTACCATTAAACCTAACGAGAGTAGAGACACCTATGTGCAATATTTCCAAACAGAGTAATATAGCACAAGTTCTAAAAGACTGTAAGTTAATAGTTTGGGATGAATGTACAATGGCCCACAAGGGTGGCTTTGAAGCCCTCAATAGAACATTAAAATATATAAGGGGATATAATAATTTGATGGGTGGAGTCACTGTGCTGCTAGCAGGAGATTTTTGGCAAACATTACCCGTTATACCTAGGGGTACAAGGGCTGATGAAGTAAAGTCATGTCTAAAAGCTTCGTAATTGTGGCCACATATCCAGAAAGTTGCACTTCATAAAAATATGAGGGTTCATGTGAAAGGTGACACATCTGCTGGGATTTTCGCTGAGATGTTACTTAAAATAGGAGACGGAAATTTCCCTTCATTGGAAGGTGAGATCACTATTCCCTCAAATTTGTGTACAGTTGTTAGCTCTTTATCAGAACTAACTTCCAGAATTTACCCAGATATAATAAATATCAAGATGAAACCCATCGAATGGTTGTGCGAGCGAGCCATCTTAACTCCAAAGAACGACAAGGCAGCCGAAATCAATGAAATTCTACTAAAGGCATTTAATGAAAAATCTGTTGAATATAAATCTTTTGATTCGGTGATCCAATCGGATGATGCTGTCCATTACCCTTTAGAATTTCTTAATACTCTGAATACTTCTGGTCTTCCATCACATAAACTTATCCTTAAAATTGGAGCACCTATAATGTTACTAAGAAATCTTAACCCACCTAAATTGTGTAATGGAACTAGATTGCAAGTTAAATCTCTGAACAAAAATGTAATAGAAGCTATAGTTATCACTGGGTGTGCTAGAGGAGATATAGTTTTAATCCCGAGAATAACGTTAATCCCAACTGATTATCCCTTTGAGTTTAAAAGAATACAATTCCCACTCAAAGTTTGCTGTGCTATGACTATTAATAAGTCTCAAGGACAATCATTGGGCATGGCAGGGATTGACTTAAGAGAAGAATGTTTTTCACATGGACAGTTCTATGTCGCATGTTCTAGAGTTAGCTCTGCCAGTAGTTTGGTTATTTTAGCACCAAAAGGCAGTACCAAAAATACTGTTTATAAAGAGGTATTGAGATGAACAAAATATGTCAATATAAATATTGGTGGATTTTTATAAAACCATAATGTTTTTGGGTATATTTTATTTCAACATTTCGTCAATTAGAATTGTATCTTACAATTTGTTTTCAAAATATTAAAATAAAGTAATTTTTTGCTGACTTCTGATTGTAACAATACATGGGCAACCTAGGATAAACTTATCTAAAAGCAGCCTGTAATAAATATAAAAACTGATAAAATAAAAGTTATAGTAGGTTACACAAAAAAACTGTACACGGGCGAAGCCGGGTTATTCAGCTAGTTTAAGATATACAGGTTGCGTATTGAACTCCCATAATTTGACCGGTAAACTATCTGAAACAGCTGTTCCCACTACTAGTAGCGCACAGAGAGGACAAGCTTATAGATACAATATTATATACTGTAGGTATTATTAGTATGAAAAGCAGATAACCGTGGTAAGTTGTTATGGCGTTATGATATTATATAATATTTAACATAATTAAACCACAACGAGCGCTAGTGATTTTGGGGTCTCGGCTGTTTCAGATAGTTGGTTCACCAGTCATCATAAAGCACTATTCGTTATAGGCTGATGTTTAACCTGTATATCTTAAATCGTGGCCTCTGTAGGCGTATTTTTGATGATAAGAAAAATTTATATTTGTGATATCCTTTTACGTAGCCATTTTGTTTTTGATGATAACAATCTTGTCATACATGCAATAACCTGTATATTTCAACCATGAGTGCAACTCACTTTTTGAAATTATTTAACATAAGTGAAATGTACAGTTAAAATTAATTAATTGATCTATAACAAGTCATTACATTATTAAACATCAGTGTGGATTAAAATACCATATACTATTTTTAGTATTATTTAAATATACCTGCCTACTGCAACAAAACGAAGTAGAAGCGACACTTGATCAGCTGATCGGGTCACTGTTTCCCTACATAAGGTAAGAAATATTGGACTCTTACAAGTTCAAACCGTATTAGTAGTCTGATAAAATATTGAGAACGGTTTTTTATGAATGCAATTGTCAGTTTCAGTATTGTATATTTGTTGCTATGAATTATGTACCTACATAACTTAGTATTGTCTTTTTGTATATGTATAACGGACACTACTCTATACCATATTTGGTGTAAGTTTACAAACTTGTAAGCATGTGAACTAAGGCACCGGAAAATTCAGACCACGATGCTCGAAGACCGCCGGTCTGTGATTGATCGGCCGCCGTTCGGCGATCGGCGCTGGTCGTCGTAGTAGAAAGCTGCCGCAGTTCATACGATCACCACTAGCGCTCCGATAACGTGGCCTCGACGGATTTTCCTCAAACGAGTGTTTAAACTTATACTACTAACTTATACCTCATGACTAAATAAATAGGCAGGGGTGGACTGGCCCACTAACCTACTGTCCTGTAGGATAGAAGGCCCTTGTTCTACGGGGTTACGGGGCCTTCATTAATAAGCTCCAAGGAGCTATAATTAAGGGAAAGTACATCTTAAATCTTTATTTAAATACTAATTAAAATTCAGAAGAGAAATTAGTATTTTTACCTTAAAAATAACGTAATTCCAACTGTATCTTCTGAATTGCATAATAATTACTAATTTAATAAAACACTATAAATCGATACTCCTTGATAATAATATATTATTGGTATAGTTACAGTTTGAATTATGTTATTTTTAAGGTAAAAATACTAATTTCTCCTCTGAATTTTTCTCAATATGGGGTTTCTATAATAGGAGGTTAATAGGCTTTTACAGGCCCAGTCTGCCTCTGTAAATAGGTATGATCATAACTCTGTGATAAGCATACCACCCTTGCCACGTCTATCGCGTAGTTCTCAGCTTCTATAATATCCTATTGAAATTGACAACAAATGGAATGCGGAGAACTACGAGCAATGGTTTTCTGTATAGAATAGTGAGGAAATGCGCAAACCGGATAAAAGCTGGTTTTTTGTTATCATACCTATTTATTTAGTCTTGGTATAGCTCTTGTAGTTATCTGACCACTCATCAACCGTGATTGTAATCAAAAACTGCCACTACACAGCCGAGAATACCAAATAACACATTAATTTAAAATATCTTTTTTTTTGCAGTTTGCAGTTTGAAACCGACGGCGCCGCTGGAATTGCTAACCTAACCTATATTTCTTAAAAAACTTATTTGCATATTTTCAATAATACTGCATACTGAGTGACATATTTCAATTTTAGTGAATGAGTAGAAAATTGGTTTCTTTTTACCTATAAGATTAAATTCTTCTCTGCAATTTTGAAAATGGTACTTTAAATCCACTCAATAAACAATATCATTAGAAATACGAACATTTTATTTTAATATCACTTTTAGGACTTTTGCTATCCTTTTAGAAAAATTCAACAATGATTGTAGTAATTATTATAATATTGGATTAAATTTTTCGGTCTGTATACCAAACACTACAAAACCGATTTGAAAAATGTTTAAAATGTTGTTTTTTATTTTCTTAAGTTTAAAGTAATAGAGTCCTGAAGTAAATTATTCTGAGTATTGTTTACATGTTTTCATGAAATCAGGGTTGTGGGTTGGTCAATTCTTCACGGTTTAACCTGATATCCTTACAATTTTTCCACCATCTATACCAAGGTCGAATATTGTCTCTGATTATCATAAATACTGTAAATGTGTATCCGATAATTGTAACTGTAATGAATGCAACAGCCAAGCAAAGACCAAATATATCCATTGAACTGTAAATTAATTTAATTCACCGATAGATGTTTTTCTTTTGTTATAACGCTTAATATAACACTCAGAATATTTAACCAATGTACCTTAGAAACATGAACATTTACCCTATAGTAAAATGTGGAATAAATCTAGTTTAGCGTAACTAACTTTTTTTTGGTAACCAATGTATTTCAACAATAATAACAAAAATCATAAGTGGGTATTCAACTATTCATAAAATCACAGTTTTGTACCTACGTCTAGACTAAAATATTGGTAGTGGGTGAATGTAAACTTTCCTGAGTTGAATAACCTATAAACTCTCCCGGGTCTACAACAGTACTATTTTACGGGTAGATTTAAACTATCCAGGGTGCTACTTTAGTACTACCTGAAGGGTACATGTAAACTCGACCCAGTTAGAGAAGATAATCCGGACGACCATGATTAATAGTGGTGCTTCAAATTGGTTACAATTGTGACTTCTCTGAAATATCATAGACGTAAGTTTTATGACGAAGTGCTGCGTGTATATGTGGATACTTAACACAATCTTCCTCACTCATAATTTGTGTATGATGCGTAAAGCAAAAAAGGGCCTCACAATTACTTTACCATACATTACGGTATTCAAATTCATATTTAACCAGTTCAGAGAGTGGATGACGCATCCATTCCGAGTTCTGATTATCTGTTTCGTGAAATGGATAGACATTTCATCCAGTTCACGAAACGGAAAATCTTTACTTGCACATCGCGTAATTACACAATGTGGATAACTTTTCACGAAATCGACACGGATGTTTAGTAGTACGGAACTTGTTTCGTATTTTGTATGTACAGACTTCGGAACAAATAATACGTGTATGATATTTATTAATTGAAATACCTTAACGTAATAACCTGTGGTATATTTAGAAATAAAAAAACAAGACGAGAATACTATCTCTTAGAAAAATTTGTTATCCTCTCCGTAGCTGAAAAGCATTACTTAATCTGCAAAACGAAATAAAGTAATTAAATATCCCGTTTTTTTGATTATTACCAATTGGCAATTAGTTTATAGATTCTGAGGGGAGCGAGGAAGCTAGTGGTTTTACAATGGTGTTTATTTTTTTTTTCTTGTTTCATATCCTGTATACAAAATTTCTACCAGGAGGAGTGCTTCGATTTCAACATATTTTACCTTATCTTTTAGCAAATTGGATCAATGTGGTTTTTTAGAAATGTCATTTTTCGATTTTATGAATATTTATTTAATGCCACGGGAAAAACCACCGAAAAATTGCTAAAAATGGTATTTTAATTTCTAACGCTTTGTTTATCAGCATAAAAACGAATAAAAAATAATAAAATTATAATTTTAATTCAACTTACATGATATAATAAATAATAACAATATAAAATATCCAGACTGACGAACCGTCTCCGCTCAGAATCGTTTTTCTTATACAATGATACTTATCATTGAATTCAAGTTTAATTCAAACCATTATGCATTTACCCACTTGTAACCTACAATACAGCAGATCAACACATCCACTTACCCCCTTTTTTTTTTAATCTTATAAACTATTTCTAATTAATTTTATAGATATCATTGGTAGGTACTGTAAAACTTAATTTTTTAATTAATAAAAATTATTAACATTTTTGGACAATTGGCAAAGCAATTTTGTAGAAAAATGTTGTAAGTAAAATTAAATATTTATAATTAAAATATTAGAACAGTTTATTAATTTAATAAATATTTGTTTATACTATTGTATGTACATTTTAACAGAATAATACTATCGGCGGCTGCTAATAAGCATTAAAAGTTTTAATTTAGTTTGTGTTAAAGAACGATTTTGGTAATTTTGTTGTAACTTAAAAATATTATTCATGGGTGTATGAACTTTAAGTGTATACCTACTATTATTTTTTTATACATTTAATCATGACAAGTTAAATAGGTATGTCAGCAACTCGTGATACGTATGTCTGTGACGTATCAATTAGGTATTTCTCCAACAGGTTGAACGGTGGAGTGGTAGTGGAGTCTTCGGCGTCGGCGGCTATTGCGGCAGTGACGGCAGTGGACCAATGAGAACCGGAGAAATGCTACGTCACAGTACTAAGCTGGGCGGAGGGCGGGTGCGCGATTTGTTTCTAAACTGGTAATATTGCTGACAAACCTATTTAATTGTCATGCATTCAATGATATTTTCAAATGTATGTTATTTGGCAAAAATTAATTTAACCTACTGCGTAGTGCGTAGTATTAATGGCCAATAG